GCGCGCTTCGATGAGTCCGAGTGGAGGGAAGCTCTGGGGAGGCAGGTGGAAGCACGCCTCGCCTTCAACGCCACGGTGTCCATCGCATGTGACTCGAACTCCTCAGACCCTTCAGGTTCTCCTGGAGCTGGAGGGTTGGCCAGGCCCTCGGTGGGGCCGTGGTGGCTGGCTTTGATCCTGCCCCTGGCGCCGCTGGTGATCTACTTGCTGCGGCAGCAACTGCGCGCGATGTCGGAAGCTTCAGCATCTCGGAGTTTCGGGATCGAGACGGAGCTGTGGCGTTTGGAGCGCGAGAGGTGGGAGCTGTCCGAAGCCGCCCTCGCCGTGTGCCCCTTGCCGCAGCACTGGGCGGCTCGCTGGGTCACTGACGAGGCAGCCGGGCCGGCGGTCAGAGCGGGGTTCTACGAGTTCGAGTTCTTCGACGGGGGCCGATTCGAAGGGGCGGCGCTGTCCCAGGGCAGCCGGGCCTTGGTCTCCGGTGGCGCCTTTGACGGGCACAACGTCTGCTGGCGAGAGGCCTATGGCTCCTCCCCCGCGCCCAAGGAGGTGGAGGTGGCGGAGTGCTGGGGCAAGGCTGTGGACGGACGCATCGAAGGCTTCTTCGTGGCCTTTGATGTGACAACGCTGCCCCGCGAGATCCGGCGGGGGCGGCTCACCCTCACGGCTCACACCCAAGGTGTGAGGCCTGGCAGGCCACAACCAGGTGGCACCGAGCCCTCTGACCGAGTGTGAAAAGATGCGTCAACATGCTTGCCCAGGAGCCTCGAGCTTGCACCACTGCACAGGCAATTGGATGAGTGAAGGTGGATATCAGGATGTTGTGTGCATCGAATCCCAAGCAAGTCAGATTTGCAATTAGCAGCCAGCAAGGACAGGAAAACAGTCTAGAGGCAAGCGCACATTTGACAACAGAAAGTATCAATCACACACACACACACACACAAAACACACTATGAAAGCGTGCATGGCGTGACACTGAGCACAGGACTTCCCATTGAGCCATGCACACCGCAGCAGAGGCTGGGGACATGGAGCGCTGCCGGGCCTTGGTGGAGGAGGCCGCATCGAGCGCCTCGAGCGCCTCGAGCGCCTCGAGTCAGTCGCCGGTCGCCGGTCGCTGGTCGCCGGTCGCCTGGCAGGGGGCGGCAGTGGGGCACCTTGAGTTCACGCGCGCGGTGTACTCCGCGTACGGCGCGTGCGGTGTGTGCGACGCGTGCCTCAGGTCAATGACGCCGACGTGTTCAAGCGGACGCCGCTGATCAACGCAGTGGTGAACGGACACGCCCGCAGCCCAGCACGCCCGGTGCGCCCGGGCATGCGAGTTGCGTGCCGTTTGCCGTTTGCCGTTTGCCGTTTGCCGTTTGCCGTTTGCTCGAGGAGGAGGTCGCCGCCCACCTGGCGGAGGCAAGAGCGGACCTTGCTGCTGCTGACCGCTCTGGCTGGACTGCGTGCAGCTGGCTGCAACGGGGGCAGCGGGGTGGTCTCAGGCTTCAGGCTGAGGTGTAAAAGCGCTGACCAGGTTCCGAGTGCATGTTGCTCGCCGCGCCCTGGCCATGAATGGGTTGATCGAGGCTTCACTGGGCCGCGTTCCTGGGGAAGTCTGAGCTTGTGAAGCTGTGCCTCCATTTGGGTGCAGACCCTCGACAGAAGGACACGGAGCATCTGGATCTGTTGAATTTTTTGGATGTCAGTCTTTTTCAGGACTTGCGGGGCAGCACGCCACGGGAGGCTGGCCTGTTGGCCTGGCCAATGCTGGGCTGGGCTGCGTGTTCGAAATTTCGCCGGAGGTCGCGGAGCATGTGCTGAAGGGCCAGGGCGAGTTTGGTGAGGGCCTGCAGGGTGACCGAGGCGACAAGCCGACAAGCCGACAAGCCGACAAGCCCCAACGGCCCCAGCTCGAGCTTCCCAATCCCCGGCCATGGGCCTTGGGAGTCTCGGGAGTCTTCTACGGTCTTTCTGAGCCCGGGAATGTCGGGCAGGCTTCGCGGCCGTGCTGGAGCTGCTGTGAGCCCTATGGAGCGCCATGGAGCGCCAAAGTTGTGCGAGAGACTGAGAGACGGGGTCTAGCTGAAAACAGTGCGCTTGACTTGTTTCTTCGTTTCAGAGATGTGCGCATGTCACGATGTCACGACATGAGCATCCATGGCTTGTGCTCAAGCACGGCTTGGGGTCCCTGAAGGGGGCCTCGCGCCGCGCACGAGGGCAGAGGGCGGGAGCTGGCGGTGGCACGATGAGCGAGGCCGTTCAAAGATGTTCAAACTTCGAGTTTCCCGGGGCCGCCTTTCCAGGTCTCTATGTCCATGGGTGTGGCTCGAGCCTCAATGCATCCGAACGCATCTGATTGCTCGATCGAGCTTGGCGAACCGGGCGGACGCCTCGCGTCGGGCTCGAAGCCGGGTTGTGCGAAGCTGAAGCGGATGCTTCCCGATGCCCCGTGTCCATCGAATCCTCGAATCAGCCATGTCAGCTCTCGCAGGGTTTAGGTGACGCTCCAACTTCCTGAGCGCAAGCCGCAGGGTCGCCAGGTGAAGTTCTGAAGGTCTGAAGTTCTGAAGTCACATCTTGAAGCCCAAGGAGTCAAACAGAAAAGCACCCGTCCCAGCGTCATGTCGCCTGCGAAGCCAACAGCCGTGCAGCTGCACATCCTCATCGAGGGGCACACGCATCCTGGCGTGAATTGAGAGAGACGGCACGGCGCCCCTGGCTTGGCTTCGCTAAGCCACGCCAAGCCGTGCGACGCTCGAGGCAAGGGCCGCCGCAGCCCTTCAGGCTCTTCGGGGAGGACTCCTACCTTTGCATCGGCCGTGCCAACGACTGCCAGGAGGGGGCCGAGTCGAGTGGCCGAGTCGAGGGGAGTCGGGGCGCGTTTTCAGATGGACATAGATTCACCCGTTTTTTGGGACTTGGGTTGGTCAGGTCCAGCTCACTGGCAGCGGCGTCTCCCACCGCCACTGCAAGCTCATCCTGCCACTTGCCAGGGAATCGAAGAGGAGTCGAGCGTCGAAGCGTCGAAAGCTGAGGTCCCGCAAGGGCCGCTGCCTAAGCCCGCGCGCCCCCGAGCGAGCCCTCTGAGTTGCGTGCGTTCAGGCCAGGATCCGGTGCTGAAGGTCCACGACACCTCCCGAAACGGCCTCCCGGCAGAGCGGTTCGCGTTCTCTTTTTTCCCTTTGCGCACTACTGGCCACGAGGCACCGGCGTCCGTGGCTGCCGGCACGTTCTTGCGGGAAAGCCCTTCACTGACTTGAAAGCTGGGGAAGAGGAGGCCGGGCCTTGCGGCAGGACGCCAGGCAGAAAGGTATGTGACGCGCTAGATGCACAGAAAGAACGTGTATGTATGCATGCATCTTTTTTCCTAATGCTGATGTTTATACGTATATACCGTTTATGTACCTCTGCTTCGTTTGTGTCGGCCGATTTTTCCGCTGAGTGCGAAACCGTTCCGAATTCCGGCTGCGTTTGATCCCTGAGGTGCTGCACCACGGCTCCCAGCTGCTGATCCCTGCCAAGGAGAAGTTCCGGGGCAAGGACACGCGTACCGCCAGGGGCCGAAGCGAGGGGTTTGGAAAGGCAAAAAGGAATTGGGAGGAATGGGGAGGAATGGGGAGGGAGGCCATGCTTTCACTTTCCAGATCTTGTTTGGCCAGTCAGACTCAGCCCCCCCGGTTTGTGAGGGGCTGCTTGAGGTCTTGACCATACGCTTCGTCCTGCCTGACGCAGCGGCCCTACACGTTTCAGTCGGGGAGGCCAGAAGACCGGCGCCGAGGCGTATGACCCGTGGACGAAAACCGGCAGATGGGTCTACGAGGCTCAAGTTGGACGGGCGTCCGGCGTCGCGCATCGGACGTGCTCTTAAATTGGAGTCCTGGAGGAAAAGCTCGGCGAGGGTGGCCTGGCCGTGGTGTACAAAGCCCGTGACGTGGTGGCCCTAATGTCTCGTTTGCCTCGGTTCGGCTCTCGACATTGAGGTCACCGGACCCTTGGGTCATGTGGCTGTGAAAGTCTCCAAGTTCAGAAATCTCCCCGAGGCGTGTGGCCCAATCTAAGCCGAGTTTGTTCGCTGGACTTCCTGCGTGAGATTCTCGAGGTCAACAACCAGAATCGCCACATCTACGCGCTGCACCGGGAAGCGCAGTGGTCCATCCAGCGGCTGCACAACTCAGCCGACTCTCGCTTCAGAGCCAAAGGTGCTGGCCCCGGCTACAAGGGCCCGCACGGGCGCAGCATGGCGTGTTTATTCCTTGTGTACGTTTTGTTCGTCACTCTTTCTCTCTCTTTCTCCGAGGTGCTGCTCTGTTTGCCCGATATCTGGAGGATCACACTGGCAGCTCGGACCGCGTGCCTCGGCTCCCTTTTCGCGAATTCATCAAGTCCTCCCGAGGATTCGAGGCCCACGGAGGGGGCGACTTTGACGCCCTGCGTCGACGGTTTGAGCACCCCGACTTCAGGCGCGGGTGGTTTGAGCGCTTCAGTATGTTTCAGTTCTGATTGAACAGACAGGTGGGCAGAATACAGCTTTGAGCCACGCTTGGCCCGTGAGCCTTATGCTTCTCGGTCGGCTCAGAGCTGCTTGATTCTGCTAGGGTGCTGTGCTTTTGGTTGTCTTGCAGCGGCGTTGAGGTGGTCATCGAGCTTGTAGATGCCAAGCTTCTGCAGTCTGTGATTGAGGGGTCATCTCTGGACCTCGTGGAGAAGCGTGCCATCACCAGGTTTGAGACTCGGGTTGAAACGGTTAGTCGTGCGCCCGCCGTCATACGGGAGGCAGTGCGTAGACAGTTTGGTGTACATGTCCCGGTTCAACGCCATCCACCGGGACTTCAGAGGTGAGCGGTTGAGCGGTCGGGGGGCAGCAAGGTCACGCCGCGAGTTTGAGAGACCTGGCTCAGGCTGCAACATGTTCCTGCAGGGGAGGGGCCGGGAGTGTCGACTGAAAGTCATAGACCTGGGCTTCATGATCTCTGCCAGAGCCTCAGGGGTCAGAAGGGGTCCGAAGGGGTCAGAAGGGGTCAGAAACGGGATCAGAAACGGGATCAGAACCGTGCATGTGTTGGTTCCTTTGAGGCAGAGGAGTCGCAGGCGCGGAACCCCAACATCGCGGTGCGCTGTGCCTGGCAAGGCAACAAGGCTCGTGCTGAGACCCGTCCCGCGTCGACCCGTCGACCCGTCGCGCGGGCCCGTGCCCGGGTTCGCCAGGACCAGCGCATCCGTTTCGACTGGGCGCCGCCGGAGGTGCGGACGCGGGAGGTCCGGAACTTTGGGCTGCCCGGAGCCCCGAGAGATCTTAGGCCGTCAGACCTCCGCCCTCTGTGCTTCAGGCCAGGCAGCTCCTTCGACGTGTTCTCCCTGGGCGTCCTCGTCATGAAGCTGCTTCGGGGTCGCAGCTGGACCCAGGCAAGGCTTCAGGTGCTGCATGAAGCTGGTCCAGCCCAGCCGGAAACAGGAAGAGGTACCCTTTTCTTCACCAGGAACATGTCCCTCGGTGTTCAGATCTGCCGTGTGTCGCGTGCGACACGTGCGTCACGTGTGTCACGTGTGTCCATCGAGCCTTTGCAGGAAGTGCTGAATGGCCCCGACCCGGTGAAGCGCTTGGCGAGCCTGGCGCGCGAGGTGCAAGACCTGCGCCGCGTCCGCAAGCCGCAAGCCGGCCGCGCGTGCTCTTTTCGTGGTTTCGATCACGCGGAAGGCCCCGCGGTGTCCGTCAGGAATTTGAAACCCGAGCTCTTCTACCGCATGCTGGACCACGAAGATGCGGGCAGAAGGCAGGCCCACGCTGTACGGACACAGCCTCTGCTGCTTCGTGTTGCTTAGTGCTTGGGCAAGCATGGCAAGCACATATTCGTAGTTGCCACGGGAAAGCATGAAGCTTTGCCACGACGCATGCTGCTTTTGATTCGACGCATATTGAACCAGTTTGACGGTCGTCCTCGATGCCAGGCCTACGCCGGCCGAGTTGAGTCATGTTGATGTGATCGACCTGGAGAAGACGAAGCGGAGGATGGGTGAGAAAGAAGCAAGGAAAGAAACAAGGCAAGAAACAAAGAAAGAAATAGATAAAAAGAAAGGAAGCAAGAAAGAAAGAAAGACAGAAGGAAGGAAAAAAGTAAAGCAAGAAGGAAGGCAGGAAGGGAATAAACAAATCAATGAAGCAAGCAAAGACAGAAATACAGAAAGAAAGGAGAGGAATAAAGAAAGAAAGAACAAAGAAGGACAGGAAAGAAAGAAAGAAAGAAAGAAAGAAAGAAAGAAAGAAAGAAAGAAAGAAAGAAAGAAAGAAATAAAGAAAGAAAGAAATAACAAAGAAACAACAAAGAAACAAAGAAACAACAAAGAAACAACAAAGAAACAACAAAGAAACAACAAAGAAACAACAAAGAAGGACAGAAAATAAAGAAATAAAGAAAGAAAGACAGAAAGAAAGGAAGGAAGGAAATAACGAATAAGGAAAGCAGGAAGAAAGGAAAGGAAGAAAGAAAGTAGGACCGAAGGAAAGCAATAAAGAAAAAAGGCAGGAAGCCAGCAAGGAAGGAAGGAAAGAAAGAAGGAAGAAAGCAAGGAAAGAAAGAAATACACAAAGAAAACATCAAGGAAAGTAAGAAAGAAGGAAGGAAGGAAGAAAGGAAGGAAGGAAAGAAGGAAATAACAAGCAAGAAGGACATAGTGAAAATATGAAAGAAGGCAGTAAGGAGATAAATTAAGAGACGTAAAAAACGAAGGAACGCAATAAATAAATAAGAAAGGAAGGAAGGACATAACGAAAGAAGGAAGAAAGGAAGGAAAGAAAGGAAGGAAAGGAAGGGAAGGAAAGAAAGAGCAAGGAAAGAAAGAAGCAATGAAAGAACAAAAGGAACGAAGGAAGGAAGGAAAGGAAAGGAAAGGGAAGGAAGGAAGGAAAGAAGGAAGGAAGGAAGGAAGGAAAGGCAAGGAAAGGAAAGGAAAGGAAAGGAAAGGGAAGGGAAGGGAAGGGAAGGGAAGGGAAGGGAAGGAAGGGAAGGAAGGGAAGGAAGGGAGGGAAGGAAAGGGAAGGAAAGGGAAGGAAAGGAAAGGGAAGGGAAGGGAAGGGAAGGGAAGGGAAGGGAAGGAAGGGAAGGAAGGGAAGGAAGGGAGGGAAGGAAAGGGAAGGAAAGGGAAGGAAAGGAAAGGAAAGGAAAGGAAAGGGGAAGGGACGGAAGGGAGGGAAGGGAGGGAAGGGAAGGAAGGGAAGGAAGGGAAGGAAGGGAAGGAAGGGAAGGAAGGGAAGGAAGGGAAGGAAGGGAAGGAAGGGAAGGAAGAAGGAAGGAAGGGAAGGAAGGAAGGGAAGGAAGGGAAGGAAGGAAGGAAGGAAGGAAGGAAGGGAGGAAGGGAAGGAAGGGAAGGAAGGGAAGGAAGGGAAGGAAGGGAAGGAAGGGAAGGAAGGGAAGGGAAGGGAAGGAAGGGAAGGGAAAGGAAAGGGAAAGGAAAGGGAAGGAAGGAAGGAAGGAAGGAAGGAAGGAAGGAAGGAAGGAAGGAAGGAAGGAAGGAAGGAAGGAAGGGAAGGAAGGGAAGGAAGGGAAGGAAGGGAAGGAAGGGAAGGAAGGGAAGGAAGGGAAGGAAGGGAAGGAAGGGAAGGAAGGGAAGGAAGGGAAGGAAGGAAGGAAGGAAGGAAGGAAGGAAGGAAGGAAGGAAGGAAGGAAGGAAGGAAGGACATACATAAAGAAGGAGAGAAGGAAGGAAGGGAAGAAGAAAGGAAGGAAGGAAGGAATGAAAGAAATAAGGAAAGAAAGAAAATACAGAGAAAATACAGAAATAAAGAAGGAAAGAAAAAAAGGAAAGAAACAAATCGCGGAATAAAAAATAACAAGAAAAGACAGACAGAGCCCAGAACAGAGAAAGAGAGTGACTGCCCGCCGCGTTTTGTCAGGATCGTCTTGGGAGCCCCAGCTGTGCCAGGCCTGGCCGTGTATGAAGTGTGCTGCGACTTGGCGTCCCGTGAGGTGCGCTGCAGGCGGACAGGGGCCTGGAGAGGCCTTTGGCTGGCCAGCAGTCGGTGCTTCACGCCGGCGCAAACGGCTCCAACGGCGGCAGCGGCAGCAGCGGCGCCAGCCGCGCGCACCCCGATGTGCCGCGGGCCTAAAAGAGGTGGAAGAGGTGGAATCCAGGGGGGAGAGAGGTCAACGACGTGCGGATTGAGCCGAGGCCAGCGGTTCGAGACGTGCAAAGCCACGTCAAGGCAAGGAAGGAGAAGCGGAAGGCGGAGCGCTTGGATGAGCCGGAGCCCGAGCCCTCCATGCTGAAGCGCAGGCGGGGAGTCGTGGGGAGAGGCGTGCGACAGAGCTCAGCTCGCCAGGAAGACCCCAGCGCCTCAGGTCCCTCCGCAGGTGAATGCAACGGGCTATTGAATGCCCTCAGGGCACCTGTGGCCAGGAAAGCTTCGAGAACAGCAGCAAGAGCAACAAGCCCGGGCCCTTTTGCCAGTTGCATGGCCAGAAGCTGATTGGGAGTCGGGATTCAGACAGGAAGGGGAAGCGGGGTCCGAACTGGGTTGGTTCATGGCTGTGCTTTGCATACTCTTCATGGTTTTGCTCGGTCAGCGCCATGTCCAAAGTAGGCATTGTCAGATAGTTTGTGCACGTATGGCCCTGCGAATTTTCTGGCCACAGGGCGCCAGCGGCCCCGGATTTTTGATTGGGGCCTGGCTTGGGGCTGACACGGCGGTGGTCTGTTCAGTGCAGGCGGGTGAAGACGACCGGGTGATCGGGGAGGCGGTGGCTCCAGGTGCAGTGCCGCAACTGCCACGGCCTGGTCTCTGGTTGTCTGTGCGCACATCCCCCGTCCGGCTGCTGCAGAGGAGCCGTGACGGCCAGGTGCTGCAGCCCACAGCAGTGCAGGTGCTTTGCTACGAGTCTTTGGGCGGATCTTTGCCCTGCGGCCCGCTGCTGGAGGCCGCCCTCCCGGTGCTGGATCCCAAATCGGAGAGACGAGAGAGATCGGACGGAGACGGGCAAGAAGAACAAGAAGAGATAGAAGAGCAAGAACTCGCAAGAGAAGAGCAAGAGCACGGGCACGGCCTCCGCAGTGCGCTGCTGGCACGGGCCACTTCCCGGCTGCGGGCGCTCCGAAAGCTGCAGTTGGGAGGCGCCTTCGCAGATGTGGCCGCGGGCTGCTTCTGCCTTTGGCTGACACAGGAAAGCCCCACGGCCATCCATCGCCAGGCTTATGGCAAGCTCGCAGATTTGGTGGTGTGGCTCATGGGGGCACCTGCGGACTTTAAGTTAAACAAGGAGCTGACCTCATTTGCAGGAAGCCTGTTTCTGGCTATGTTCTCGCTCTGGGACAAGTGTGCCTCACATGTCCCAGATATTGCAGTGGATGCGTTACTCGCCTTTGCATGGCTTTGCGCAGCAACGGGTGGCGTGTCTTTTTTGGTTGCGTTGTTGGTGGACCTTCTGGCTGTGCTGTCCTTGCCCCTTTTTGTGGCGTATTCAGGAACCTGCCTGTGCTGGAAGATGGCAACAAGGTCTTTGTACACCTTGGGCTTGCTTTTCCAAGGTCGGAAATACAACGTACTCCGCTCACGGGTGGACCACCACAACTTTTCGCTGGACCAGCTCTTGGTTGGGGTGATCCTGCTTTCCATCGTCGTGTTCTTGCTGCCGTCTCTTTTCATGTTCTGCGTGTGTTTTAGCGCTGCTTGGCTGCTGGTTTCAGCCCCCCGCTCTGCGCTGGCCCTGTGGCCTTCGGGCGGCCTTGCTGCCCCTGCCTCGGGCATCGTAACGGTGGCATCCATAGAGCGGAGCGGCGACTCGCCCGTGCCACACTGGCTCTTACACATCCGCTGCGAGAAAAAGGGGGAAACAACCAACGACTTGCGGGGGGGGGACGTTCTGCATGCTTTTCTTGAAGCAGAATCCAGAGCCCGCCAGCCCGCCAGCCCGCCAGCCTGCCACCCTGCCCAATTTGAGGCGCAGGCCCAGCGACAGCGGTTCGCAAGGCTCGCTTGGGTCGCGGGAGTGGCCCTTGTGCCTCTGACTGTCCAGGTGCAAAGTGTCTGAAGTCAAGTGACGCTTGCAAGCAGAGACGTCAGTGTTGCTTGGACCCCGTTTTCGTGTCACGAGCCAACCTGGAGCCCAGGATGGAGCTTTTCCGGCAGGCGCCGATCCGATGGATTCCTTGCGTATTTTTCAAGATTTGGGCAGAAGGGCAGGTTGACATCTTATTCGGAGGCAGACGCCGTCCCCGAACATTGGATTGAGGCGGGCGCGTCTCGTTTTCGCTTGCGAGCAAAAACAGACCGCTGTGCAGGCCATTGGCGTCACGAGTGCGCCCCGATCCCTGACCCACAGCGCCCACAGATTTCAATGCGGGAAAAGATGGGAAGTGCTGGCACAGAGTGCTCGTGCGCAGCCCTGGTAATGGCGCCCGCGAGCACAGTAAGGATGCCCAGCTGGACTACGTCAACCGAGCCGGGCGCTTGCGTTGGCTCGCGCAATGGGGCTTTCGGGTTTCTTGTGCCTGGCATGCGGCTGGACGGCTCCAAAGACTCCAAAGACTCCAAAGACTCCAAAGCACCTCAATCCCGCAATCTTGCCTGGCAAGAAGCAAGCTCGCATCCGCGCCATGGTGCCGCTGGGCCCCGCTGGGCCCCGCTGGGCCCAGCCCCAGGCGCTCCTGGAAATGGGGAAGGAATGCTGACGCAGTTGGATTCCGACTTGCGAGTGTGCCTTGCAGCTTGGGCTCGAAACGCTTGACTTGTAGGACTCGTAGGGCTCGTAGGGCTCGTAGGGCTCGTAGGGCTCGTAGGCATGGCGCTGTGGCTTGGCCGCAAGTTGCGAGCCGTCCCCCCTCGATCCTTGAGCATGCGCCCAGGTTCCGGACATGGCTTGTGGTGCAGGCTGCATGGGCCCTGCAGCCGAAGGAGCTGGAAGATTGGCGGCTCGGCTTGCGATTCAGTTCTGGACACCGCTCGGCTTGCCAAAAGAAAAGCGTCGTGAGGTTTGCTTCTTCCAACGGCCTGGCCATGTCCCGCGAGGAAGCCGCCCACACGGCTAGCACGCCAGCAGCTCAGCCCCGCGCAGAGATCCGACGCCATTGCAAGCTTTAGGAGCTGGAACGCGCTGGCCCAGTGCGGAGTAGAGGTGAGCACCCTGCAGAAGTTGAAGGCGTCGACTCGTCGACTCGTCGACTCGTCGACTCGTCGACTCGAGTCGGGCGTCCCATCGCCAGCACGCCCAGGACACACTGCAGGATCGCAACTCCCTGGACTTGTCTCTGCCGGAGATCAAATCGCAGCTGCTGCTTCTGGCGGAGCAGCACGTGAACCCCGACAAGCTGAGGCAGCTCTACTACGCGCTCTCTGGGAGTTACACGCTGTGCCTCGTCGAAGTCGAATTAGGGTTAGTTTCGTTCCATGTCAGACTGAGGGAAGCTCAAATGGTCTGATTTTGAAAACTCCCAATTGTCATCTTCTCAGTTTCGATCAGAAGCACAGCACATCGCATTTGGATCGGCATGTCCCAGTTTTCCCTCCAAACAAAGTAGCACCGAAGATCCTTGAAACGTCCGGAAAAAAGCAGAAGCTTTTAAGTCAGTGACCGTCTGACCCCAACGTCGGTGGGCTGCGGGTGAGGAGCGGCGGGCTGGGCTTGGCGAAGGACGCGGCCCAGACGATGACGCGGCTGCTGGCGCTGAAGCGCGCGGAGCCGGACCAGCTGAAAGCGCTCTACCAGGCGTTCTGAACCTTTTTGGGGCACACTTCGGCTTCGGAACCGGTGTTTTTTTTTACTAGCCCCGGCTCGGGGCTTAACCCCGGCTCGGAGACTGGTTGGTTGGTTGGTTGGTTGGTTGGTTGGTTGGTTGGTTGGTTGGTTGGTTGGTTGGTTGGTTGGTTGGTTGGTTGGTTGGTCAGCTGGGCGGCCGCATCCCCAGCATGCCCAGCATTTCCGGTTTCTTGTCACGGCTGCGTATGGGGCATGACTTGATGCTCGGGATAGTGCATCGCCAGCATTACTGGCCTCACTCGGACGAGAGCTGCCTATTGGCTTTGGTTTGGTGGCAGTTCAGGGTTGATCGGGGCTGGTTTGGGGTGAGTGCTGGGCTTGCTGAGATATTAATGCGGGCGGGTCTTGGGTTTGTTTAGGGTTCATTTAGCCTCGGCAAAGGGCCGATATGCAGGATGCGGTTGGGAGGGTTTCAGGTTGACTTTGGGTCGGTTTTGGCTTGGTTGGGGCTGATTCGTGCTAGATGTGCGGCTGGTTTAGCCGTGGCTTTCGGGTTGCTTCAGGGATGTGGTTCTGCAAGTTTTGTGCTGGTTTGGGATTGGTTGTGGGGCGTTGCCCCAAACCACCAATCCTAGCCCAAAACTTGCAGAACCATCCCTGAAGCAACCCGAAAGCCACGGCTAAACCAGCCGCACATCTAGCACGAATCAGCCCCAACCAAGCCAAAACCGACCCAAAGTCAACCTGAAACCCTCCCAGCCGCATCCTGCATATCGGCCCTTTGCCGAGGCTAAATGAACCCTAAACAAACCCAAGACCCGCCCGCATTAATATCTCAGCAAGCCCAGCACTCACCCCAAACCAGCCCCGATCAACCCTGAACTGCCACCAAACCAAAGCCAATAGGCAGCTCTCGTCCGAGTGAGGCCAGTAATGCTGGCGATGCACTATCCCGAGCATCAAGTCATGCCCCATACGCAGCCGTGACAAGAAACCGGAAATGCTGGGCATGCTGGCGATGCTGCCACCAACCCCCAGCTTGTGCCGAGCCGGGGCTAGTAAAAAGCCGGGGCTAGTAAAAAAAAAACACCTCAACCCTTCGGCTTTCGGCTTTCGGCTTGCCTTCTGAGGGGGGGGTTTGCAAAGGGCCAAGCCAGGGAGGAATCGGCCGCGTGGAAAAGGGAAGACATGAAAAAAGGGAAACGAGGAGAGAAAAGAGGGAGAGAGAGAGGGAAGTTTCGGAAACAGTGAAAGGACGACAATTGGACGGTGAGACAGTTAGACGGTTAGACGGTACCAGGTGATGTACGGCTACTCGGGCTTGGGCTTCGACCGGGCGCTGGCCCAGACGCAGTCCATTCAGCTGGCCCAGGCCGGCGCCGACGCCGCCCAGTTCAAGGACCCGAGGGCCCGAGGGCTCAAGCCGAGCCTCGGAGAGCCGAGAGTTTCAAGTCTTGCTTGTGGTGTACCCGTTACGGCCAACCCCCGTTCTTCCCCTTGGGCTGAAGCCACCAACAAGGACGAGGAAGCACCCCGCAACTTGGATGCCTCGCCGATTGCCCGATGGCTCTCAGAAGGGACCATCCAGGTGGAGCACACATGCTGACTGCACGGATCTTCGCGCTGCGAATGCAGGAGACCTACTTGGCGACGGTGCAGAAGGGCAAGCAGGAAGCCCTCATCGAGGCAAGCAAGACCGCTGTGGCCAAGGATTTGGAAGGAGACGGATTAAAACAGAAAAGGCGCGAGGTTCGGTGCCGACAGGCGAGATGTGCAAAAAGAGACAGAAAGAAGCAGCCAGACTTTCAGGAGCTGTGCGGAGATATGCCCTGGATGGCTCTTTGTACTCCGCAGCTGAGTTTCAGCGATATTATGGAGAAGGCGCGAGTGAAGCTTCGCGCCTGCCATTTCGCGCATTCCGCCACGCAGGTTGGTTGAGTGCTTGGCTGGACTCGCCCATGGAAAAACGCATCTCCACGGACCGACGCGCCTACACTGCGAACCAGTTCTTCAGGCAGGAAAGTTGGCTGACACTGCACACATTCGGCAAACATGCCTTCAAACATTTAGGTACGTCAAGGGGTTCCAGAATGTTCCAGAGTAGCGAGCCTCTGTGTCCAGCGCCCATTCCTCTAAAGCCAGGTTGCGCGCCGATAGACGGCTCACCATACTCCCCAGTTGGCCCTTCTGCATCCCGCAATTGCTACCTTGCGACTTTGGATCCTGTCACGTGACTCAAATGGAACACTGGCAACTCAGAAATGGACTCATTGCGTGGCGACGTTTGCGTCTTCTTTGGCATTTCGCCTCTTGGTTCTTCTCCGTTCCTTTTCTCTTCTGCCTCTTCTCTTCTCTTCTCTTCTCTTCTCTTCCCTTCTCCTCTTCTCTTCTGCGCGCTGAGCCGATGGAGGCATTTCAAGTCCATCGCTGTCTTCAAGAACCAGCCGACGGCCACGCAGCAGCGCCTGGCCGAGGACGGCAAAGTCTACGACGTCGCGGAGTTCCACAGCTACTTCCGCGACCAGTGGCACGACAAGTGGAGCGCCCGGAGCCCAGCGCGAGAAACGAGCATAGGAGCCGAGAAGCATCCGAGAACCCGCAAACAGAAGAGAATAATCTGAGAGAGAGAGAGAGAGACAGAGAGAGACATCTGACGTTTGGAGACAAGGAGGTTCGATCGGGACCGAACTCCGAGGTGGCGCCTGAGCTGGCGTGCAAGGAGTGTGCGCCATACGGCCAGAAGGCACTCATTGTTTGAGCCCATGGCCAGATTGCGCTCGCGGGGACTTGCCTTGCGATTGCCCGGCCAAGAAAAGATGCCGCGCTTGCCAGAGCGCCTCAAGGAACAGGTTCTTCTGGCCAACTTCGCGTGGGGCAGGTGCCAGCAAGGCGCCAGATGGCGCCAGCGAGGTGCCAGCGCTGGGCGGTTTGCACGGATGCGGGATGTCAGGAAAATGCGCCCAGCGGCCGCTCGTCTTTTCAACCATCGTGGATGCGGCAGCTTTTGGCCCGAAAGAAATGACCCATGAAGCTCAAGAGAAAACAAATCGACCATGCGTGCTCAGGAAGGCGCCTTTCATGATACATGCAACTGGCATGGCAGCCACATCAAAGGAGCATCCCACGAGCGGAGAGGTGCTGAGCGCAGTTTAGTTGCCAGTTTTGGATGGTTTCAAAGCCATGGCGCTGCTCGATGGCCAGGGGCAGCCGGCAGTCGGGAGCAAAGGCCTTTGGCTGGACGTGGCCGATTTTGTGGCAGCGAGCGAGGTGTCCGAGGCCGAGCTGCAGTACTTGTGCTTCCCCAAGGACTGGCCTGGCGTCTACAGCTCGAGCGGGCTCAGGGCGCTGATCGGCAAGAAGGGTCGGCTGCCTGCCCGGCGCGTGGCCGTGGCCGGGCCGCCGCTGCCGGAGCAGCGCGAGGGTCTGGCCGGCGTGGACTTCCTGCCGCTGCAGAGCTTCGCCAACGCCGAGAAGGCCGCGGCGAGGCTCCCGGCCGCGTCCGTGCGGGTAGTCCGGGGCTGGGCCGTGTATGCAGTGGGCTCAACTGCAGTGGACGCCGCCGCCACCGGCACCTTTGTGGCGGAGAAGTATTGGTGGAATGAGCGGGGCGGGCAGTGGGTGGATTTCACCCCCCGGCCCGAAGGCTGGACGCAGCTGCTGCTGGCGGAGGCTGAGGGCAGTGTCAAGGAGCCCCAGGCTCTTTCCAGGCGGCAGGCTGAGTTTGGGGCCCGGCTGCTGTCCTGGAGGTTCCCTGAGTTGTTTTCCAAGCTCCAGGGCCAGCCTGCAAAGGTCGAACCGGCAAAGGTCGAGACCAAGAAGGGCGAGCCCGCAAAGGTCGAGCCAGCAAAGAGTGAAGCGCCAAAGGCCGTCGCAAAGAAGAAGCCACACAAAGGCATCGACTACTCCAAATGGAGCAACATAGTTGACTCGGACGAAGACGAGCCCCCCAAGGCCATGGACGAAGATGTCGGTGTCAAGGATTTGGCTGAGGTGGTTAAGGGTTCAAAACAGCCCCCCATCCCCGACTTTCTGTTGGGTTGCACCAATGGTGGTGGAGGGACGAACTGCCTGACCTCTTTGCTGAAGATGCTGGACGGAGAGCAGACGCAGGAGACGGCGCATCAGCTGGCACAGGTCTTTGGCCGAGGCTTCCACAGTGCCATGTTGGACTCCAAGCGCCAAGACTTCTACCGCTGCGCCTTGGAGGCTTTGCCCTCCGAAGTCTTCGTGGTGGTGCTGGGCCTGGGTTCGGCCCTGCCGCTGCTGCGCGCGGCGGCGAACCCCCGGTTCCGGGGCCTGCTGGTGGAGAGCTCCGCCTCGTTGGCGGCCTTGGGCCGGCGCTTGTTGGAGGCCGACGCGGCCAGGACCGCGCAGGCGCCATTCGCGGTGGCCGTGGCGGAGCTGACGGACCCGGCGGCGCTGGCCTCGGTGCTGGCCTCGGCGCTGGCTTCGGCCTCCGGAGCCCAGCCCGGCACGGTGGCGCTGCTCACGGAGCGCATGGCCCACGACCTGCTGTCCAACGGCATCGTGCCCTGCTGCGTGGCCGCGCACCGGGCCGTGCGCCAAGTGCTGCCGGCAGCCGAGCTCAAACACATCCCGCAGACCGTGGAACTGCTAGCGGCCCCTGCAGAGATCAGGTCGGATCGCTTGCACGACTTCGACATCCGGCCCTTCAATGCGCTGAGGCACACCTCGTCAAACGACAAGGCCGACTTTTGGTGGTGGCCTGTTCGGATGGACACTCAGCAAAATACGACCTGTTCCATCCTGGGCCCAGCGAAGACGCTGTGCGGCTTCGATTTTGCCCGGTCTCCGGAGATCACCATGGAAGAGGTCCGGCGGCCCCTGAAACTGCAAGCCACGTCGCGCGGACGATGCAATTGCGCTGCGGTGTGGTGGGTGGCGAGGTGCGAGAAGCTGGAGTACTCCACGCGGCCGCGTCTTGCTGACCAGTCGGAGTCGGACCGCTCGGAGCGCTCGGAGCGTGATTCGAGCCGCTCGGAGTGGAAGCAAGCCATCCACTACCTGGGGGGTGAGACGGCTGTCTTCCCCGGGGACACGGTGGAGCTGTTGGTGTCCATCACCCCCAAGTTCACTTTCCGCATGCTGCAGCAGAGCCCCATGTCCGTCGAGGCACCCAACTGGGTGCAGGCGCCCAGCAGCACCAAGTTCAGCGCCACGCTGCCGGTGCTGCCGTACCACTTTCTGCCGCTCAGTTGGAGATTCCTTTAAGCCTTTTGGAAACTCTTTGAAGCCTTCAATCCAAGCCCCATGAGCCTGAGTTCGGCCATTCCGGCTGAGGATGATGACGGACCTGGAGCGCCTGGAGGTCTACCAGCGCGCCATCCGCGCCGCGGTGCGCCAGGCTGCGCAGCACAACCGCCGGGTGCGCGTGCTCGACGCCGGCTGTGGCATCGGCCTGCTGGGTCTCACCGCGGCCCTCGAAGGCGACGGATGGGAGAGATTCTGAGAAAGCCAACGTGAGAGAAAGTATGGGAAGGTATCGAAATGGCACCGCATGACACTTCGTATCAGTGTCTCATATATGACAAAAGAAACATGCGTCATAATGTGTGTCCGAGTTCATCGGGGTGTGCTGGCTATTGGTCGTAAAGCTTTTGTGTGGCCTTATTGTGTGTTACGTTTGTCTTCTTTTTTTTCTTTGTACGTGTCTCCAATGCAATCAGGCTCAAGGTCGTGAACGCATTGTCCTCAAAAGCGCGCCTTTCGTTGATGAAACGGGGCCTCGTATGTTGCAAGGCCAAACTGCGGCTTGCCACACAACTGTCCAAATTTATCCCCTCTCTTGTGGCGTCTTTTTTCCCCGTCTTTTTTTTCCGTCTGCCTTCTGGCCGCTTCCTTTAAACGGAGGTGCGGAGGTGTGGCTGGTGGAGGCGGTGCCGCTGATGCGGCAGGTGTGCCGCGAAGTGGTGGCGGCCAACGCGGGCCTCGTCGCCGAACAGCGGGGCCTCGCGCCTCGCCGAAGTTGGAACGGAAGTCGGAAAATGTTGGGAACAAATATGGAGGGATTGAACAGAAATGGGAAGAGAAGTTGGAAGAGAAGTTGGAAGAGAATGGAGAGGAACGAAAGGGACGGGAGCAGAATGGAAAAGAGTGGAAAAGAGTGAAAAGAGGAAAGGGAGCAAGAGCAGGGAGAAAGAATGGGGGAAGACCGCCGAAGACTCACCGTGTCGCTTTGGTCACGGAGCTCTCAATGCATCCGGCTTGGAAGACCTGATGCGGCCTTGGTCCGGACGGGGGGGACGAGCTCGGAGCTTTCCGGACTTTGCAGGGATTACTTTTCCCGGGTCACAACAAATGAGCGTTGCTCATTTGTTATGGACTTCCACATGGCGGAAGTCTTTTTTTGGGAGTGTTGTGGGCTTGTGTTGGATGTGGGAGGGAGAAGGGGAGGGTTTGCAGTTGGCTGTCCGCTCGGTCTGAGTTTGCAAGGTTCAGCTGCTGCCGCCGATGATGTCCACCCGCCTGGACCCGGAGAAGTCTGAGTTCGCGCTGGAGAAGTTCGACGTGGTGGTCAGCGAGGTGATGGACTTGTGGTGCCTGGGGGAGGGCATCGTGCCCACCATGCGCCACGCGCACCGCAAGCTGCTGGCGGAGGGCGGCATCATGCTGCCCTCGAAGCTCACCATCTTCGTTCAGCCGCTGGAGCTGTCCCTCTGGAGCCAGGAGGGGAAACGAGTTGAAAGTGTAGGGGGCCAAAACCTCCGCAGTGCAGGGGGCGAATAATGCCATAGCGGTTCTGTTACGGTGTGACGCTGTGAACGGCTGGGGGGAGAGTGGAGCAGAGTTGAACAGCTTTCAGGCAGAGCGGCAGCACCAGGTGGACTTGCAGAGTCTGCCGGAGGTCTTCCGGAGCAAATTCTCCGCGGTGCGCATCGACCAGTTCCCGCGGCGGCTTCTGACGGAGCGGCCGCTGGTGGGCATCGAGGTGGACTTGGCGCAGGTGCCGCCGCAGCCCGCGGAGGGCGAGGCCAACCTGGACGCCGCTTCCGGCGGTGCGCCCTCGGTGCCGCTGTGCATCCGCATGGGCGGCAAGCCGGCGCTCCGGGCCCGGGTGGCCACGGGCAAAATCGAGCGCAGCGGCATGCTCTCGGGCTACGGCATCTGGTGGTCCGCGCAGCTGGGCTCAGAAGTTGTCACCAACAGCCCCGACAGCAAGCAGCGGAGCTGGAAGCAGCTCATCAGATGGCTGGACCAACCTCGCTTCGTGGAGGCAGGGGATGATATCCAGGTCCTCACCTGCTACAACGACCACCAGGTCAATGTTGAAGACATCTTTGTGACGCCCTCCATGATCGACCAGTACCAGAAGACAGTGGGTGCAGCTCAGTGATTCAGTGAGACCAGGAGACGCGACCCAAAAGACGCCAGCCGCGGGTTGGTTTGCTCATTTGCGGCACGATGTGAGGAGTTTTTACCTGAGGTTTTGCACAGCTCGGAGTGGTCGCAGCGGCGAAAGGCCTGTGAGGCCGTTCTGAGCCGCTTCAAAGTCGGTCCGAAGCAAAACAAGTTTCATTTCCGCTTTTCACGAAGCGTCGTGAAGGGTTCTTCCGTGCGGAGGCCTTGGACTAACTTGAGCAGAGCAACTTGTACAGCGCAACTTGTGCAGCGAAATCTGCGCAGAGCCAGTTGCACCTGCATAGAGCCATTTGCGCGGAGCTACTTGCGTAGTGCATCTTGCGCAAAGCGACGTGCCCAGAGCCATTTTGCACAGAGGTCAGTTACACAGAGCTGTTTGCGCAGAGCGAACCTGCGCAGAGCGAACCTGCGCAGAGCTACTTGCGCAGAGCCAGCCGTCTGCACAGAGCCGCCTGCGCAGGGCTACTTGCGCAGAGCAACTTGCACAGAGCCATTTGAACAGAGGCGAGTTGTCTGGGACTGGCCTGTGTGCGAATAGTTTGCGAAAGCAGTCTGGGTAAAGAGATTGGGCGTTCTTGCGCTCAGCGTCAGCGGCTACGTAAGTTAGGAAAGTTTCTATACAGAAGATCCTTAACGCTCGTGATTGTTGCAAGGCTTTGGCGCTCCAATTCTTCTTTTCCCTTCTCCGTTCTCCGTGCCCAAGCCCTTAAAACGCCTCCCTCAAAAGGCCCAGCCCGTTCCGTAGGTGGCGGCCGCCATAGGCGGCTCCATTGGGCGCCCCGCGCAGGAAGCCCTGGCCCCCGCCTCAGCTCGTCTCGGGCATTCCAAAGCCAAAGCTTCGACGGGTGAGGCTTGTCAACATGGCCAGGTGATGTCGGTTGTTTTTTGTGTCGATGGGGTTTCAATACGGGCCTTCGCGTTGAACAATGGAAGGCGTTGACATGGAGTAGGGGCAAGGGTTATTTGGCTAGTCTGTGCCGTTCTGATCGGCCATATTGCTAGCTGGGTTTGTGGCTTCTGTGATCTTGAGATGCAGAAAGCCTCAACAATTTATCAGCTTCAAAGCTAGTTTCGACTTGTTGATCTGGATTTGACTTGCGCTGATGTCATATTGTTTTGTTGGCCATGGGCCATGCAAAATTAATCGTCCCGGCCAGAGACTGAAATTAGGCAAGATAAAGATGGCTGCGGCCGTGCGTTTCGATTTGCCTTCCGAGCATTGTGCCTGAGTCCCGGACTCTGATCAACGTGACCTTGAATGATGGAGACGCGGTGCGCAGCCCTCCCTCTTCACGCACTTGCGCCGTTTTTGGTTGGGCTTGTGACTTGTGACTTCCATGGCATCAAACTTGAGCGTTTTGCCTTTGCCCCAAGACGCATGCTGCGCTCGCTGTCTTGCAGCGCAAGCCTCGCAAAACACCAAAATCCCTGCCATCGCAGGAAGTCCGACACGCTGCAGTGTGTGCCTTGGCGACGCCGGGGCCTCTCGAGGGGTCAGCGCGACAGTTCTTGACCTATGTCTTCAATCCTTGACATTGCCTGAAATTCGAGTTCTACAGCTGTTGCTTGTGTTTTGAGATGTTTTGAGCTTGTCCGAAGTTGCACGCGTGTCTCAGGTTCGACCCAGAGGTGCGAGTGGCCACAGCGGGCACCTGAGAATAAACGGAATGAACGGAAGGAACACAATGAACAAATGAACGAATCTTCAGGTTTTTGAGGGGAGAGATTGGAAGGCCAGCGAACTGTGCACGGAGGGGCTTCGTTACGAGCCCCGCGCTTGGCATTCGACGGGATTTGTCAGATTCGTCCAACTGCAAGATGCAGTGACGGGGGAGGGGCGTAGTGTAGGGGCTAGCGGCGTGAGGCTGGAGTCGCTTCACAGCAGGCGAGGAAGGGCGAAGGCACCAGTTAGCATTGGAATTCATGCTCACCTGCCTCCCCCCCCCCGCCGCCAAACCATCCAACTCCCTCAAATCAATTGCTTCACAACTTAGTGATGCTAGTCCTGGCCAATTTTGAGTTTACGGTGTTTACTGAAATGGAGCTAGAGTTTTCATTTGATTCTTGCTCGAGCTTTGACCCTTTGGTGGACGCTTTGGTGAACGTCACTTACATTGAAAGGTTGTGTCCCGCCATCTTGGAGGGGTTCACGATTAACATTCAAAGACAGTTTGAGTTCCCAGCTGATCTAGTATTGCTGGTTTTGAAGCTGCAACAAGAATTGTGTTCTCATCAAGTACTCCTTCCCCTGCGGGATGGGCCCGTTTGTTGCATAGCAATGTGTAAATAAAGAGGCAGTGTGGCATTTGAGTTTGCTAGAGAGCAACTTGACCATCCTTTTGTTTTGCTCCATTTTGTTTGGCCTTCCTGGTGTGATTTGTGTGTGGTGTGCATGCGCCCACAGCGTCGAAGTCGTTTTGTTATTAAAAGATAAGTAACTCAAATTATTAATTGCCTTTTTTGGTGGGATGGGGGACGCTTGTGCTCATGGTTTAGGAGGTTGTATCAGCCAGGTCATGGAGCCTCTTTTGCTCATCATTGAGCTATCGAGTGGTTTCATAAATGAATCCCAAGAGGACATTGATGCGGTGAGTTGTTCAAGGTGCTGCGGGATGCAGGGAGCAGAGATGCTAGGGGGGCATTTTGCACCAACTTCACGCATTCAGCAATGAAGCCGCGAGCGTGCCAATGCCATGAAACCATGCAGTCGGGCAAGGTTTCAATCACACCGGCACCCCTTCAAAGAAGCAGTCCCGCTGCGAATCAGGGGCTTGAGGGTTGAGGAGGATCAAACCATTTGACGCTTTCAACATTGGGTTCGCATGTCCAGGGCCCAAGCACTGAGCACCACACAGCTGGCCCTCAGCAGACACACGAGCGAAGGAATGTCCAATCCACAAGCATGCGAAGATACGCAAAGCATGGGTTTACATTTGCCGAATCCAGTTGAATCCCCGGGCCTGCGGAGCATGCGCGCACCCAGCAGCATTCCGTTTGTTCTGTATCCCAGATTGTTTCTCAAGATCGGGCCGTTTTGGGGTGCTTTTGGAGCCTTGCCGCCAGCCGCCGCAACGTGAAGAGCGCCGCGTGCAACGCCATGGGGGTGCGGGGGCCTTAGACGCATCAGATGGGTCCTGAAAAACGCAGCTCGGTGGGATTTGAGGCTTGGGCCAGAGTGCGGGATGCCGGTGCCTGATGACTTTCTGACTGTTTGACTGTCCAGTTCGCCTCGTTTGCTTTCGGGTCGCAGGCCTTATCTCCAAGACCTGCAGGATTGTTTGCGCGGGGCCTGGCTCTTGAGATTTTGAGTCTATGAACAATTCGTAGCAGTGACGTGCCCGTCGCGTTGCCTGTCGAGTGCCTGTTGGGAAGGAGGGACAAGTCCAGCCTCGTGAAGAAGACGGCCCTGGCTGCACTGGGTGCCTGGGGCCTGCCCGTGGCGGCGCACGAGGCGCCGTTGCGGCGTGGACGTTGCGTACCTTCCAGGTGAATTGACGAATTGACTTGTTCGTTTCACTGGTCATTCCGAGTCAGCATGCTTGCTTGTTCATTTGACCGGTTGTGTTAACTGGTTGATTGGCAGTGAGCCGCGCAGCAGATGCACGGGTCGCATCCATGCTCAAGCGAGCCCTCGCTTGGGGCGGACGGGCAAGCCAGGCCAGGCATGGGGCAGTTTGGCACATTGGCACTTCGGCAGAGCTCCAGAGCTGAGGATCCATGGCGTTGCAAAGTTGACGCGTGTGGGCCCCGGTTAGACGGTTAGACGGTTAGACGGTTAGACAGCCGGTAGGCCGTTTGGAGCTCGGGGGCCATGCGGATCTCGCCCGAAGCCCGGCTCAAGCCATGATGGGCCTGTGCTCTGCCTGTGAGCCGCGGGAGCCCAAGGCTTGGATCGGGAGAATGCTCGTCGTTCACTGTTTGCTCCTTTGCTCCTTTGCACTCCTTTCCTATTTTGCACTCCTTTGCTCTTTTGCACTGCTTTCCATTCAAGCTTTGCACAGAGTCCGGGGTCTGCGGTCAGGAGCTCATCTCGGCGCCAAAGCCTGCGCCAAAGCCTGCGCCACCGGCACCGACACCGGCGCCGAAGCCGAAGCCGAAGCCGGCGCCGAAGTCGGGCCCGGACGGTCTGGCGCAACTGCGGAGCAACGCGGAGGACTGGGCCGTCCGAAGTCGGGCCGGGAAGTCGGGAAGTCGGGAAGTCGGGAAGTCCGCTCTGTACGCGGGAGCGCGGGACCGGAGAAATATCGGGAGTGAGCCAAGAGCGATCGGAGACAAACAGAGGCTGCCATGGCCGAGATGGAGTCGAACTTCGACACAGGCCCTGGCCTTCTATGTGCCCTATGTGTTCACGACCTTGCTTGATCTTGGGCAGGGATCTTCGACTACTTCCCATCGAGCGGCGAGACTTGGCAGCACTGTGCGGTTTGTGCTGGCCGATCAGCGGCATATGGGCACACGGGCATGCGAGAATGCGGCATGGCATGTGCAGGCTCACGGCACGCCCCTCGACCTCGAGACCTTGCATGAAGGCGGGCTCCTGAATCACTTGAATCACCGGATCGGGACAAAACCGACTCGCTCGCGGGTTGCGCATTTCTCGGCCGCAGATGGCGAGCGCTGGGCGACGCACTTCTGGGACACCAGGAGCTTCTCCTCGCACTCGTGAAGAAAGCTATCTGCGCGGATGTATCGGCGGAGTGCGATATGCATTGTCGGAGTGCGCTTGTCTCAAGGTTCTGGCCCATGCTTTGTTTCCACTCTCGGACCTGGGGCGAGTCGCCCGAGGCCGGATGCACGTCGTGCTGCAGATCGACCCCCTCCTGCTGCCAGCGACCTACGAGGCCCGCGCTGTCTGCCACTTGACTCAGACTCAGTCGCTCAGCCGAGGCAAGAACTCGGCGGCTGCCTTGCGAAGCCAGGGACAACGTGCAGCAGGTGAAGGGCTGCCGGGTTGCAAGTCGAGCTCGGCCTTCACAGGGAGCCTCCCCATGTCAGGTCTTTGCAAATTCCAAGGCCCGAAGCAGCTGACAGGCTGTTAGCATGTTGAAATGCCACGCGGTCACCTGGGTACAAATTCCTAGGCGGTCTTTGCTTTTGCTTTGGCGTCGGGCTTGCTTTCATTTGCAGTCCATGCTGTCAAAGTCTTGGGGGGGGCTATTTTTTTTTTCTGGAGCGGCATGCTGACAAAGCTTTTCATGCTTCGGCTCCGAGTGTTCAATGATTCTTGAGAGGCTGGCATCGGTTTTCAGCCAGTGCGATGTGTTCTTGTCGAAAGGCACCAGGTTTTGATCCGCAATATCCGCAATTGAGAAGCATGTTGCAAAGCCTTAGCGATGTTCACGACCGTTAGATCTCACTGCAGCTTGCATTGCCTCTGCGAGCAAAGAGTTAATCAGGGAATTCCTTCAAGCAATGTGTTCACCTGACTGAAGTTGCTTCGTGCTGGAAGTTCCGTGGAAGGGCAGAGATTGGACGTGCTTTGCGGTGGGCGAGCTTAGGTTTCATTACGCAACTCTTTGGCGTGCCGTTCCTGCGGCAGGCCTGACGTGTTGAAAGCTGGTCATTGGAAGTGCCCAGGTTTGAGCATCGCAATGCGCGGGACACTTAGGAGCTGTATCTCGACGGCGTGCACTTGCATGATGACTTGGCCACCTTGGCGTCGCTCGGGGTCTTTGAGGAGGCGTGCGCACAGCGTGGCCCATCGGGGCCCTGCGGTCAAAAGCCAAACGCGAGGCCCTTCTGACAGTGCGCCCCCGGCCGCGCGTCGGGGCTACCTTTGGGCGCCTAGCTGCGCGGCGTAAGTCGAGGCACTCAGTCTGCATGAGCTTGTCGTGCATTGCCGAACTACGAAGTGCAATGTCACATAGCCATGCACAGCCATGCATAGCAATGCATAGCAATGCCAGGCCAAGGTCCATGTTGCACGTTTGGGCTCAAGTGGCAAGCGCGCTCTTGCGCCAGTTCTTTGCCAATCCCATGGATCCATGAGTTCGTATCTGGGGCTATGCCCTGGAGCCGCTTGGCAAGGAAAGCGTGCAACGATGTTTGCCTATGGCGCTTGGCCGGGCTCAGGCCTGAGCTTCGCGTGGCTGCACTTCGCGAGCTCGGAGCGCGTGCACTACGGGCTCGAGGCGCTTGAGCCGCGCCAGCTGCAAATAGTCCGGCGGGAGGCGCAGGCGCCAAGGGAGCTTCTTACGCGTAAATCGTAAAGGCCTGGGTCAGCCTTCGAGACCTGAGGTTCCCGAGGCACTGTTCTGGCGTGCTGGAGCTGCAAGGCACCTACACCGTCTCCGAGCCCCTGAACTTCACCTCGTGCACGCTGCGCGGGCAGCCCGGCACCTTGCCGCTTGGGCCGAAACAGGCCACGTGCGCGTGACCCGGACTCCGGACTCAGGATTGAGCTGGCCGCGCCGCTGCGGTTTGCGGCCCTGCGCTTGGCACCTCGGTTTCAAGGCCAAGAGGCCAAGAGGCCAAGAGGCCAAGAGGCCAAGAGGCCAAGAGGCAAGCAGCCATGGGCCATGGCAGTCTATGGCAGCCACGCTCGCCGTACCGTTGCTTGCCCGAGGAAGGTCACATAAACATCACGGCTACAGAAAGCTTCAACCAGACGTGCGTGACGGCAGACAATATCTCAGTTGCAACCGAAGCAGCGTCCATCAGCAGGCAGGAACTTTGCAGAGAGGTATCAGTTCAGATTGATGTTGCCTGCTGGTGTGGGCTACTTTAGCGTGCGCCGTTGCCTGTGCATGTGAGAGCCCTTCCCGTCCCCCCTATGCCGCCTATGCCCCGCTCAACTGGGGAAACCATGTCTGTGCGCTCGCAAAATGCAGTAGGTGCCACTCGGCGAAGGAGGCGGGTTGCATCCTGGCTGATCACGTGGACCTGGAGGGGGCCCTGGCGCTGCGCGAGTGCACGGCGGTGGAAGGGGGCGGCGGCATTGCGGCCAAGACCGTCGTGCACCACCAGGGCACCGTCAGCTTCAGCGACTGCCGGGCCAGCAACGGCGGGGGCCTCCACTCCTGCAACTTCACGCAGAAGGGCGGCACCATGACGTTCCAGAACTGCTCCCAGCATCGTCGTAAGGTGAAGCTGGCGTTTCTAAGTGCCCTACTGGGCAAATCCCATGGGGGAGGCGGATTGTCTGTGAAGAATGTCCTGACACAGGAAGGTGGCCTTCTCAACTTTAGCCGCTGCACCAGCGCAACCAACGGAGGAGGGCTCTACATGAGGCAAGGGCACCAGATTGGCGGCACGATGCGTTTTAACTGGTGCCAGCATCAAGAGCATGCGAATCATGGCGGCGCTCTTTTTGTCGACGAAAATGTAAACCTCTCAGGCGGGCAGACTGCAAGTGGCGCACACACAACTCTTGTCGATCGAATACGCGCGGCGCTCGCCCCGAGGTGCAGTGGTTATAAAATCCTCCTGGGCAGCGGGGAAAGGTGGCGGCATCTATGTGGGCGGCGCCTACAACAGCACAGGGAGCGTCTTCATCCGAAACGCCAGTTCGATCAAGTATGGCGGCGGCATGTACGTGGGGAAGGGTTTGGAGCAACGCGGCGGCGTGTTGAAGGTGGTGAGGGGCCGTAGCTATGACAAGGGCGGAGGCATTTTCATTGAGAAGGGCGGCATGCGGTTGCACCACACCAGCTTCTCCATGGACTCTTGGCATGGTTCATGCATATGCATAAGGACAAAACACACGGAGCAAAGACGTGTAGGACAGCTGCAGTTCTGGCCGCAGCGGCGGGGGCATCTTCACACACCACGGTGGGGTGTCCGTTGTTGGCAATCTCACCATCGCGAATTGCAGCCCCTCGGCAGCGGTCAGGGCTCTATTCAGCCCGCACTTTGCCCGACTCAGGCTGCCTTCGGGACGGCGGCGGCCTGTCTGTGAGCGACGAGGGGCTCAATGTGCCGCTCGCATGATCTTGCGTATTTCGCTCGACATATTGTCGGGTTCGTCTCACGCCATGCGCAACGGCTCTCGGGGCACGGGACGCACATGTGCGGGTGCACGGGACACAAGGACTGGGCAGGCGACCTTCCGCAATTGTAGCTCGAGCTCCCGCTCTGCGGCGCTGTCCGTGGCTCCGTTCCTCAACGTCTCCGGCCTCAGCGTGATGAACAGCTCCTGGGCCTCACAAATACGAGTGTCACTTCTGTTGACAGTTGAATGTAACTTGCTTGCAGGCCACGACCCCATCTGCTCGCCAGTGTCGGTGGCCGGGCCGATGCATGTGGAGAACCTCCTCCTCGCTTACACCGAAGACAGAATCCCGAGTGTCGCGGGACGTGCCATGCCGCTCGTAGTCTTCAGCGCTTGGCATTGCACATGTGGAACATTTATCGCATTCTGGCACCATGCGGAAGTTGCCCATGCTGCAGCCGCCTTCCTAGGAAGATTCGCAGAGCTAACTGCTCAGACGCGAGGCAGTGCGAGTTCGTCGC